TATCCGGCACCTCAGAGCAGAACTTCTAGCACCAGTTTTTCTCAGCCTTCCTCACCCTAATGCATTCTTCTTATGCATCCAATGTTGTGTTGTGCAGCTCTCAAAATGTGGTTTTCTTTTTTCTTTTATTTGGTTGTGTACCTTTTCTCCTCTAACAGAAGACAAGATGAAATTTAGGCTTAAATAAAATATGTGCAGGATGTTTTATAAAGCAAACTACAATACAGATGCAGTTGGTGGTAGTAGTTGTTGGCTCTTAACAGTTATATTTGGTCTCAGTTCTGATGGACGGGGAAGCTGAGGTACAGCCCTGGGTGGCGATGTGCTCTGTCCCCATGACCCTGAGCTGTCTGGCTCCCAGGACAGTCTCTTCCCATCTGATCCTCAGAACCTGCCTCGTGCATTACTTACTGCAGTGCCGATCCTGGCTGACATTGCAGAGAGGCAAAAGGACGATCGCAGGAACAGCTCGCGAGAACATGAGCAGGGCAGGAAAAGCCGGGAAGGATGCCGGGTTGGTGCCCCAGCATTCACAGCTTGGACAGGGGCAGACCTTCTTTTCTTCTGTGTTCTTGACTGAGTGACAGAAATGACCAGGCTGGGAGGCATTGGAAGGGAAGCATGCAAGAACTCTACAGCCAGGGATCTAGGATTGCGAAAAAGTTGAAGAATGTTATGGGAGGGGGGAGAGTGAGAGAGAGCGAGCTAGTTCTGAGATGGCACTTCTTTACACTTCTTTACAGGGTTCCTGGTTGTCAGTGACCATCTCACGGGAAAGCTCTGCTTTGGGAAGTAAAGCCGTATGTCCAGTCATTTATTTTCCATATGGTGTTTATTTATTTATTTATTACATAAAGCAGTCTTTACTTTGGTGAAACAGGTTACACTGCTGGTACTTCAAACAGGGGCGTGAAGATCACAGCTTATCTGTGGAGCTTTTACCTAAGGCTGCACCCCTGGCAGGTAGTAGTACCAAGATGTAGAGCCAGGTCCTGATCCCAATCCGTGTTTCATTCCACTGTCACAAGCCTTTGTGGGCCAGGCTTACCTCCTGTGCTCTTTCAGGAATTCTGCCCTCCTTCACTACTTTGTTTCAGTTGGAAAACTTTTTTGTGTGAAAAACTAAACACAACTTGAGATAAGATCTCTCTCTCTCTCTCTCTCTCTCTCTCTCTCTCTCTCTCTCTCTCTCTCTGTCTCTGTGTGTGTCTCTCTGTCCCTGTCTGTCCCTGTCTGTCTCTGTCTCTGTCTCTGTCTCTGTCTCTGTCTCTGTCTCTGTCTCTCTCTCTCTCTCTCTCTCT